TTTTTTAACATAGTTGAGGTTGCATACACTCTTGAGATCAATTGAGGCAAAGGAGACTACAGTAGACACATGGAAGGATGGGAGAAAGGGGAGGTCAGATGATGGGGTGTGAATTGAGCTGGTTATGAATCGGAATTGACTCAGTGGCAGTAGGTATTTTTTCTTCACCCCAATTTGAGAAAAGATAGAAGGATGGTTTACCTATAGCTCTGCAGGAGTCAGGCTAGTAGGAGATCATGGAGACCTGGAATAATCCAAAAGAAAGTGATGACAAGAGATTATTCTCCATATTCCTTGCAGAGTCGTTCTCATGAAGAGGGGCCAGATTAGTGCATTTGTAACAGGTGTTAATTTGCTATTCTAGGGCGTTGGAGAAAGCATTCCAATCTACTTAAAAGTTCCCTTTCCTCACTGGTTAGGTAGTATATTCTTGGGCTTCGGCAGAGGTTGTAACCATCTATGCAGATATGTGGTCTACATGGTGTTTTGTGGGCTTGCTTTTACTCTAATTTGAGTAAGTTGTCAAGTCAGCAGTCGAGATTTCACTTTAAAATCCAGCTTTCCAGCCTCTGGGGACAAAAGTAAAATCTGGCAGTACCCTGAATTCCCAGTGGCTGGGTCGCTCCATTTACAATGGGCATATGTTGTCTGGTTTGCCATAGTTTACTCTCCTCTCTGTTGTCTTACATTCAGCTCACTCTTTCACATGTCCTAGTGGGCTCCTGTAGGCATATTTTTACTTCTGTCTGGGTGTTGGGATGGTTTGTACTCTGAATGGAGAGCTTGACTCTGGTACCACCTCCCTTGAAGCCCAAGTACCATTGAACTCTGTCCTTCAACTGACATAGTTGAGTGTTCTGCAGCCGTTTGAGTCTTGTCAGGGTATCTTGCCCAGGGTGGAGGTGAAACTGCATTATTGCTAGGTCTGGTCTGCCGAGAGTCTTTAAGCAGCTCTTCCTCATCCCAGAGACGACCTCATCAGGGCCATCAAGAAACTAAAGGCGCTTGGCACCGGCTTCAGCATCATCCCTGTAGGCGGCACTTACCTCATTCAGTCGGTTCCGGCTGAGCTCAATATGGATCACACTGTGGTGCTGCAGCTGGCAGAGGTACTCATGTGCCTTCTGAGTGTGTGTGTGTGTGTGTGTGTGTAAGGGACAACTCGGGTGGGGTTCTGGAGCAGTTATGACCTCCCTAGGACTCACATCTTTTGCTGAGACTTAAGGCTGAACTACTCAGACCTGTGCTTGTTGAGCAGACATTTATTGAACAGCTAAGTGCAGAACACTGGGCGGGGCTGGGAGCATGGAAAGATGAATAAGGTAGTCCCTGCTCTCAAGGAGCTTACAGTCTAGCAGACAGACATGCAGACAACTAGCTATATTCCCTTGAGGAGACGGACTCTGGTGTCTTCTTAAACTACTTTATGGATTCTTCCAAACAAAGCTTAATTTGCCATTCCCCTGCTCCCCAGCATGATATAGGCATATACCACCTTCCCCAGATACTCATCATGTATTGAGGAAAGACGTTCAATTTTCTTAATTCCGTTCTTCAAAACTAAACCAAATAAGGGAGGGGTTTTTCTTCATTGGGGGATGGGTAGGGTAAGGCAGGATAAGGACTGAATATTTAAGATTATTAATAGTTGAAGATTATCATTTTTTTTTTCGATTAGTTAATCATCCCTTGTCATACTCTAGAGATCTTCGAAGAGGTCTGATGTTTAAGTACCTGGCACCTCACTTCTTAAGAGTGAACCGCTCACCTTGAAAGTTACCTCTCTATTTACTGGGGCCTCTAAATGTTCTTTTTCTATGTTCTCTTAGGCTTAGCCCAAGGAAGGTTCCTCCTTGTGTTCCTGGGCAGATGCTGGGTTCTAAAGGAAAGTGCACTTAACTGCCTCAATTCCCTTTCTTCCTTCAGAAAAATGGCTATGTGACTGTCAGTGAAATCAAAGCCAGTCTAAAATGGGAGACAGAACGAGCGCGGCAAGTGCTGGTAGGTGACTTTGGAATGGCCCCTGAAAAGATGGTTCTGACCTCAGAGAGGAAGTAGGTGGATAGGCACCACAGAGGTGGGAGCTGTGCAGCCTTGCTTTGCTGGCCTCTGGCCTTGAACTCTCCTGCTGCCACAGTAGCAGGAACCCCCGCATTGCTCTGAAGAGGGCGCTGAGAAGGTAGAACTCATAAAAGCAGACTTGATCCTGGCATGTTTGTGACAACAGGCCATCACTGCTGCTAGGGGTTCACCATCGCCTGGTATCCTTCCTGGATCTGTTGAGCCTAAATTGCTGTCCACATTGTTAACATAGTTGGTACTGGAAGTAACACTGTTATTACACAGTGAAGGGACTTACTAAGGATGATAATTACATATCTATGATTATACACTTAAGTATTACATTGCATTTGCTATTTAAAAAAAAAACAAAATTCACTGCTGTCAAGTTGGGTCCGACTCATAGCAACCCCTCCTTGGGTTTCCCAGGCAGTATCACTACCCAAGTAGATTGCCCAGCCTTCCTTCCGAGGAGTGGCTGGTGGGTTTGAACCGCCAGCCTTCTGGTTAGAGCTTTATGTATGTGTAAATTTCATGGTACGAATTAAAGATTGAGAGGAGTCCTGGTGGCAGGCACACTAGTTAAATACTTGGCTGATAACAAAGGTTGGCAGTGTGAACTCAATAGCTGCTCCATAGGAGAAAGATGTGGCAGTCTGCTTCTGTGAAAGATTTACAGCCTTGGAAACTTTATGGGGGCAGTTTCATGCCTCTGTCTTACAGGGCTGCTATGAGTTGGAATTGACTCAACAGCAGTGACTTTGTTTAATGAAAGACTGGAGTCCTGGTGGTTAAGTGTTCGGCTGCTAACTGAAAGGTCAGCGATTCGAACCCACCAGAAACTCTGCAGAAGGATGTGACAGTTTGCTTCCTCCTTCTAAGATTACAGCCTTGGAAAACCTGTGGGCAGTTCTGCTGTCCTGTAGGGTCTCTCGACGGCAACAGGTGATTTTTTTTTTGGGTGGGAGGGGAAGTTACTGGCATTGGTGTTGTGAAGAGGGAACAGCAACAGAATGTAGGTGCTTTGGCCTTTAGCATTTCCTTTCCTATCCATGCTTTTCAATTCTCTAGACTTAATTTCATCTGTCAAACGGGGATCCCATAAATGTCTGCCTGATGTACTGGGCAGCACCTCCCCATCTGGAGCATGTCTCTAGGAGCTGTGAGTGCATTCTCATACTGACATGGTCCTCTTGTTAATGTCTCCATAAAGGTTTCCCCACATCCACCAATTACCTATAAGGTTAAATCAAAGAGCAGGGACCACCATCTCCACTTTGTGCTAGGGAAAACGGAGTTGGTCATTTGCTGAAGGACACACAGCACATATTAAATGACTTGTCATTTTTCACACCTCAGGCAAAGGGCAAGACCACCACATCATCACTCTAGTTTGGTTGTGTAAACATGTGAAGGCAGTCAGGTGGAATTAGTTTGAAAACTTCACTGAAAGCAGAGTCAGTTTGGGGATTGCTAATTTTCCCTAGGGGAGCTCTGGTAGCATAGTGCCTAAGGCACTTGACTGCTAACCAGAAGGCTGGCGGTTCAAACCCACCAGCCACTCCTCGGAAGGAAGGTTGGGCAATCCTACTTCCGTAGTGATGCTGCCTCAGAAACCCAAGGAGGGGTCGCTATGAGTCGGGGCCGACTCGACGGCAAATAACAACAACAATTTTCCCTATTTTGTCTGTGGAAACTCTTCCCCATTCATACTCTTCCTGCCTTTGCCCTCCAGGAACACCTGCTAAAGGAAGGACTGGCCTGGCTGGACTTGCAGGCTCCCGGGGAGGCTCACTACTGGCTGCCAGCTCTCTTCACGGACCTCTACTCCCAGGAGATCACGGCTGAGGAGGCCAGAGAAGCCCTGCCCTGACTCTGGGAGTGGAGGGGGGCACAGCAGCAGGAAGGAGAAGAGCGAGGAGCTCCTGGTGAATAAAACCTGAACACTTTTGTTTTAAAGAAAAAAAAGTAGGATAAAAGTTTCAAGTTTTCCTTTCTTCTCCCAGTATTATTCACCCATTATGTTTTTAAAACATGCCTTCACATTACAGCTTTACTGGAGAAATCCTCATTAACCCAGTAAGGATAACCCAAGTAACATCAGTGGAGAGAACATACCTCAAATGACTTCCCCAGGTAATTTATAAGTCCATGGTTTGCACAGGACAGGCTGGCAGAGATATTTTTGTTTGTTCTACACCATAGGTGGGCCCACTCTAGATTTGGGCCTGGAACAAAAGCTGTCTGTCCTGGCTAGATGAGACTAGTCTCTGTAGCTGTGGAACGTAACTTACAGCCTCCAATAAGCCTCTTAGAAAATGTTCCTTATCTCTAACTAGCAGACCCTAATGGAGCAGTAAATACTATTTAGTCTCATGCAGCTTCCTTTGTAGAGGCTGCAGCAGGTTATGATGACAGACTTGGCCGAGTGTGTAGTAGGTTAAACGGGAGAACAGTGGAGTTTAAGGGGAGTCCACCAGTAGTCAACACTCCGTATTTCTCCGATTCCTTCCTAGCTTCCCCGTCCACTGATCACCAGGTCCCTCTGGCCTTAGTGGAAAATGAGATCATTTACTGAACACCTGTCTTCTGCCATGTTTCATATATATTAAAAACATACTAACATTGAGTCGATTCTGACTCATAGCGACCCCCATCCTTAGAACTACCTTAAAAACTAGTATTTTTAATTACATATGAGGAATGTAAGTAATTTACTAGGTGCCACCAAGCTCTAGCAGCAACAAGCTAGAACTTAGGGCTACTCACTCCAGAGCCCACTCTCTCTCTCTGCTTTGTACAGTATAGGCTGGCAAGGACATTGTGTATTCATTCTACACATAGCCAAGAGGAAAAGCCTCTGGGCCAGAAAGAACTTGCTAAAGGAAGTAGTGGAGGTGGTGAACTATGAGGCAATTGTTTTAATGGTTTTGTGATGTGGGACATATAGTACCCACCTACATTTTCCACTTCTGAATTTTAGTGGGAAGCTAGCCCACTTTAGTGTATGCCATCATCTGATGGCGGCCCAAAAAACTGGCCTCATCCCAACTCCACCAGAGACCCCTTGGGATATATGTCCTACTAATTTTATCAAAATCCCTACTACCTCAAAAATGTTTTACATTTCATTCACAATGCCTTCCACTACTGAAAAGTTTCATGATTTGAATGCTAAATTCTCCAGAAGGGCTGGTTTGGTGCCAGAAAACTGAAAATTCAATGATAGATTATCCTTAAAGACAACCTTCCCTTAGCAGTCTAAACCCACCTCTGCTTGTCCTTTTGGAACAAGCTCATTCTCCAAAGCTTAGGAATCACTACCTTGAATGTGACTGGGCTCACATGGCATTCTCATTGTGCCAGAGGCATAGCCTCAAAAACAAAGAAGCCTTCCATTCCTAGCTGGTGGGAGGCTCTTGTCACGGCATCCTGCTCCCTCCTTCACCACAGAACCAGTTGTCAGCTTCCAGACAATCCACTGAGCACTTTTGTTCTGATAGTTTCAGTCCCAAGGGAGAGACTATTTGTTGAGAAGACCTCATTCTTCCCTTACACAAACCCTCCCACACCCACAGGCGCTTTCTCCTTCTGCCAAAACAAACTTTATTGCACCAAAAAGAAAAAAAAAACTTCATTTATGTACAGTCAGATATAAAGACATCTCTTTGACTCCTGTGCATATATTTCCTCAACTCAAGATAAGGGCGTAAAAGTCAGGCCACAATGCCAGACATGGTCTGCCCATGGCAGGGCCAAGGAGAGGATTGTCACTTGAAAGTGGGAACACTTAAGTGGATGACAGACAACACTGGACCTATATACCAAGGGCATTGTAAGCCCTGGACTAGCTCCGGGAATGGAAGAGGGAAGCTGGAAGCAGGGTCCCTTTTTGAGCCTCCATGTAGAGACCCAATCTTCAGTAATCCAAGATCAACTTCCGTTCCCTGAGCCCACTCCCTGCCCAGTTTCTTTGCTTCCTGCCCTCCCAAGTAGGACATTCTCCTTTGTGCCGCCCCCCCACCAGTCCTCCCAAGGGAATCCCATGATCCACAAGTAGACACCTTCATAGCAGCGGGCAAGGCAGGTACAAGTTATCCTCTCCCTTACAGGTGGCTGGATACTGACAGGCCCTGCGTCACATGGATCACCAATACCCCACTGGGAGCCATAACAGTTAAGAATCTGGAAAGTACGGAGAACACATCAAAAAGGGGAAGAATGGATTCCCTTGATGCCCAGGATTACAGGGCACCTAAAGCACATTTTTGAGCCAACCAGCTAAAGGATCATGGCAGCTAAATACAGATAGAGAAGCAACATGGCCAGGCAAACACCCATTGGAGCCAGTGACAGAGCAGCTGGGAGGGAAGGGGGTGGGTGGGTGGAGAAAAGGGGGAGTATCTCAAGTCCCAGCCCAAATCCCCTTCTGCCATTGGCTACCCTTGCTCCCCACAAGTCCCTGGGGGTTGGTGTAGGGAGGGGACTACAGGCTGGGGTAGACACACGAGGACAGCCAAACAAAATACAACAGGACTAGCATCAGGCTCCCCCCCACCGTGCCCCACCCCCAGAGAAATATCCTCATTGTGACTAGTATTTATGAAAATCTGTAAGAAGACTATTCTATGTAGTGGCTCTAATCCCATACACTCAGCAGCTGCCTGTGTTGGGAACCTTTCAAATCAGTGATTGCAGGAACAAACAGTATTTCAGCTTCTTAGGGTGCCTGTGCAGGCTTCACCAAGACCTTGGTTCAGGTTCAGTCACACTTACTTCCTGTCTTAAATCTAGAAAAGGGTAAGGGAACGGGGGCAGGGGAGAAAGGTGCTCAGGTGCTACGTAAAGCTTACTGATCAGCAGCCGAGACGCCACCACTGTTCCTTCTCTTTGGTCTGTCTAGAACAGTGACTATAAATTAGGAAAAACAAAATTACGCTGGCCTGTGGGAAATGATGGGGAGAGGGGTGGGGAGGAAAAGGGCATTGGGAAACCCTGCTTCAAGACTGAAGACAGACAGACAGACAACCACCCAGACTGCTTGAATGTCACAGACAGCCCCCTACCCCAAGCTCCCTTCCAGATATCCCCATAAATCATTTGGGCACATTCCTTCTTGGGATTGCAATTTCTGCTTCCACCTATCTGTCCCTAAGGAGCTGGCCCTGTGGAGGTGTGTTGGTTGTTTTGTTTTGTTTGCCAGAGGCCCCTGCCCCACGTGCTCCTGTATAGGTACCTTGGCCCCTGATATGGGATGAACATGGCCCCAGATGCTTGGAGCCAAGGAGGTCAGATGGGGAACAGCCTCCCCAATCCCACACCCTGGGATCCGAGCTGGCTTGATTCTTGCCATCTTGCAGGATGATGTCACTTTTGGAGGGAGATACACAGTGCCTCTCCATCCCTGGGGTGGGGGGAAGGGGCTTTGCTGGGACTCTTGTGTTGGGGGAAGGGGAGCGGGGAGCAGGGTCTAAACCCTCAGGCTCCCGTGCAGGTCTGTCTCTGTCCCAGATGAGCTGCTATCAGAGTCCATTTCGGCGTTCTCGTTATGGAGCCTCTCCAGCACTTTCTGACGAATCAGTCCCAGGCGCATCAAGAGGGACTGGTAGTCAAAGTGGCCCCGCTTCTCTCCAAAAGGGTCCTGTGGGGGAAAGGAGACAAGGGGGATGAAGATTCACATCTGGGGGGCTCACCCTCAAGACAGCAGCTTGGCCTCACGTGATAAGGTATGCTCACTCCTGAGCTATGGAGCTATGGGAACAGAGAAGGGCCCAACAGAGATCGTCCGTAACAGCAGACGACAATCTCCTTAGTCAAGACTATTATGGCACATTTACTATCCCCAATAGGTCTGGGTTAGGCCAAACTTAAAATGAACATGCCTTCTTCAAAAGGAAACCAATGTACAGAAGGGGAAAGTTGTAAAGGGAAGGCAGGTAGGGAAGAGAAATTCAAGTCCAGAACTGTAATCATTAAGTGTCTTGCTTTTTAATTAACCTCAAAAACCCATACAAGGCAAGCCATTATCCTTCATTCACTATACTCAAAACAAGTCATCTGCTTTTCTAAGGTCACAGGCAGGTCTAGACCTCAGGAGTTCTGACTTCCAGATAAGCCTGTACTCTTCCCAGGAACTATTCAGACATTTCTGCCAAGGTCTCTCCTGCACCATCAAGCATCGTCCCTGATCCCTGTGATTTTAGATCAAAGATACCCAAATATTTTGTAGAAAGGGGTGAAGTATCCTCAAAGTCTCAGAAGTAACTATGATTGATTGGGGTGATGGTATGTATGTATGTATGTGTTTGTATAAATAAATACACACACACACACAATGCTGCAAGGATAGGGCTGTACAGCCAATCATTATAATTACTATCAGGAAGCTGTATATCTGTTAAAAAAAAAGGGGGGGGGGGCCTTCAGGGCTGCTTATGTACAAGCAAATCCCTCACTGGATTTGGTTCCTCAGTTTGGAGGTTTAGGCTCATGGTTTCATGGGACATCACAGTTAATTGATCAAATAATGTTTTTAGTGCTTCCATTCTACCTCCTAGTTCTTTACATAATGCCTGGGGTCTTAAAAGCTTGCAAGTGACCATCCAAGGCACAAACAATTTGTCCCTATTCACCTGGAACAACAGGAAAGAGTCAGGAATAGGAGAAGGACATAGAATATGTGACTAACTGCCTCCAGGAGCAACTGCCTCCTTTGCCATGAGACCAGAAAAACTAGATGGTGCCTGGCTACCATCACTGCACATTTTGATCAAAAGAAGGAAAATGCAGAACAGAATTTCAAATTCTCATAGACTCTAGAATTTCTGGAGCCAGGGAGGGTAGATGAAACCCTGAAACTATTGCCCTTACATAATCTTTACACTGTGAACCAAAAATATCCCTTAAAGTCACCTTAAACTAAACAGTAGTTTAACTTAATTAGTAAAAAAGGTCT